AAAAAAAACCCCCCCCCCAAAAAAAAAAAAAAAAAAAAAAAACAAACAACACATCCTTGTGGCTTGTTAGGTTACACCAGGGGTGTGCAAAATGCAGCCTGGGGGCCAGACGCAGCCCACCAGGTCTTTCTATCTGGCCCTCGGGACTCCTAAAAATTTAGAAAATTAATATTAATCTGCCCTGAGCTGCTTGTCATGCAGCCCTCAATGTCTTGCCAAATCTCAGTAAGCAGCCCTCTACCCAAAATTACTGCCTGCCCCTGGGTTACACACTTCCACAGTAAAGAGTCATTCTTACTTTTCTTTTTCTACATGCAGGATTCAACCAGAAGGTCAAACACTTCAGCCACAGGAAACAAAAGAAGCCACCATAAAAAAAAAGTTACTGACTTTTCTGCCACTTTTTTGTTTTATTCCAACATATGCCATGTGTTAAACTACAAAACACAGTCTGCATTATTCATAATGCAGCCAGAAGGAAGTGCACTGCACTTTCAAAAGGCACAAGCATTTTAGATGGGAGCTCCATGGCAATGAAGACCACTGTAGCTCTGCACAGCGACCAGTTATGGCAACAGTAAGTATATATAACGATACCCAAGCAGTGCCACTGCTGCGCAGTTAAAACCAACAGATCCATAAGACAAGACCAGACCCCTACAATCTAAATAAAACAACACAAGAGGGCTTGGCTACAAACAGCAGCTGGGGGCAACGGGAGAGATGCAAGTGACTGATCAGCAGAGATATTATTACATGTGCAACTTGATAGTTCCTCTTTTTTGGTGCATTAAGATTTGAAGATTGGAAAATGAAGGTCTGAGCAGAGGTCAGCTTACATAATCATTTACATGTTCAATGCTCTAGACAAATAATGACTATTTTTCCCTTTGAAAGGTCAAGCATCTTACATCACAGTTTTGCAAGAGAATGTAAGCACATTTCTCACGTATCCATATGCACGTGTGCAAGGATCTGGACAGCCAAAAAGGAAACAAGTGGATGATAACAATCTGCTGCTCTCTTTTTGTTCCAGGCTGTGTGGAAGAGCACCTACCCTTAAGCCTAATACACCTTCCACAAAGAACTGTGAAACCGTTTACACGAAGAGTCACAAATATAAGTAGGCAGGCACGGACCTGAGGATACGCCCAAGTTACAGGCAAGCTATGCTGTACACGTTTCATTTCTGACAGCTTCGTCTTTCCGTGGACACACCTACACTACAGAAGGAAAAACACCCGATTCTTACCCCAGCTCCAGCCAACCGCTCCCCCTCCAGAATGGAAAAGCAGATAAACAGCTGGCACAACAACGGCTTTATATTAAAAACAATGCACAGCCCCACCAGCACGTGTGCCGTTCCCCGCCCCACCAAAGTGCTGGAAAAGACTGTGTTTGCATTCATGCTAGTCATGTTTTACACACAGCCGCAAAAAGTTACTGCAAGCAGACTGCTGCCCCAGGGGCCAGAGCTGCACCACGGGATTTCTGACAGGGCACAGCCGCGTCTTGGAGTAACCGAGCAAGACAATCAGGCGGCAGCAACGCGTGCTTTCAAGCAAAAAAAAAGGAAAACAAGGAAAGACTGAAAACAGAAGCGGTTTGTGGCTCATTCACTGACATATCAGCACTTCCCATGGAATACGACGCACGGCCCTCCGCCCAGCCTGGCCCACAACCAACCCCGGCCCCACCACCCCTCCGAGCCCCTAGGCTCCCCCA